TGTACTCACTTTTGTGGCCAGCGGTTTAGACATTAATGGCTGTGTGTTGAGTTATTTTGAGGGGACAGCAAATTTACACTGTTATACAAGTTTTTTTTTTTTATATATCTGTTTTATTTCCCACCATTGGTGTGTTCAAAAAATTTAAATAAATAAAATAAAATTCTAAATCCGACTGCATAAATTAGATATCAAGTGGTGCACAATGAGTTAGTAATATTTAGACTTTGTTTTTTTTTGCTTGTGTATATGAACTCTTTCATGTATGTTTCTTCTCACCGTGATAGTCTTTGTAAAGTGGGTTGGTCTCCTTCTCCGAGCCTCTGAATGATTCCAGAGCAATGGCTGTGTCACTCAGTCTGATTATTCGTCCCATTACGGCTCTGTTCTGAGAGAGTGAGACAGGAAGAGAGAGTGGGAACGGATTTGAGAGACATGAAATACATGAGAGGAGTGTACAAGTAAATGTAAGAACATCTAGAGCAATGCTGAGAGCATCTCTTGCTAATTAAACCCCTCTTAACGAGCAGCAGGGGTTGCACTGCTTTTGCTGTGAGAACTGAATTAGGTCATCATTATCTCAGAAAAATGGAGCAGGGTATTCCAGAGACTGAATTCACAAGCTTACAGAACTTAAACAACCTCAGTTACCAGCAATTTTAAAAATGTGTCCAATTTACAAACACCACTCTCTATGATGACTGTAATCTTTAGCACTTGATGCACTCTTTGCATTTGAGGGATCATTGAGGTATAATTAAAAAGTTTGAGGTCAAAAAAAGGTGGGCTCTTTGACTTGGGCATTTAACAAACCACCTAGCAATCAATATAATGTTCAATGCATCAAAATGATGTTTTAACGTTTTGGATAAGCTCTTGCATCAATCATGGCATCTAAACAGGTATTATTAGATTATCTTCAGCTGTACTACATAAAGGCACCTCTGTAAACTGCTGCCTTTGGTTGCGTTGTGTAACATTAAATCCATCAGATCAGAGCAGAACATACGTTTGCTGCTCAAACACATCAAGTGCTTTGATTCCCTCAAACACATGCTCTCCAAATCTGTCCGTCTCTCTTTCTCTGATCGCACGACTCATGCAGTTTCGCCATATGGCACAAATCTGGATGAACGTAGGCATAAAGCCACATCAACAAAGAGAAAGATCCAAAAATCAAAGAAAAGACGTCTCGCTCATTAATGCTTTCATTCCAAAAATATCTGGTGTAAAAATGTCTTCAAGAAATTTAAAGCATTTCAAATATGCCTTTCAGCTCATCAAGTTTTTGTGTCACACATGAATTATGCAAGTTTACATTTCACACTTTGAAATGGCCTGTTTTGGTCTGCCGGTTATGATTTTAACAGGAAACAACTGATGTAATTCTGCAAAACCGCTCAAAATGTGGTAAAATCATGGTAAACGGAGATAAAAGTATGACTGAATGGGCCAAAATATTCAATAAACACATAATGGGCTTGGAAAACAAGTCATGAAAACCTGTGACCTTGACCTTATAGATATGAAGCTCATGCTCAGGGGTAAAACTGAACAAACACAAATCAACAACAGCAAAGACACTCAGGCCAATATAGATGAGAAAATAAACCAGTTTAAAGTATTAAAGAGCAAAAATGCACAAACACACATTAAAATCTGTTGAGAGTGCCTCCTTCTGGCAAAAACAAATACAGAGTCTCTTCAAAAAGGAGAGAGCACTCCAAAGAAAGACAGAAAGATAAGGCCGTTGTGAAAAATTAATCTCTACGCCACTCGTTAATATTTCATATACGCTCCCTCTCTGTAGCAGCTGACGAGGCCTAATGCAGTTTTCATGCATCCGTGTCCTTTCTTTTTTCTTTCCTCCTTTCTCTTTTCCTCCCATCCTCTCATCTACAGCGGACTTTGAGAGCATGCATGTTCGTGTAAGCAGCCGTGACCCTTTTCCCAAATCTAGCATCAAAAATGTAACCCAAGCAACTGTGTTAGTGACAGTCACTGTTAACTCAACACCATCACACCAATGCAAGTAAACAAAACAACAACAAATGCCACTACAACAGTTGAGCCAACATATTGAAGGTTCAAGTCCAGGATGGTGTTTAATAAAACGGACAGGTTAACAAAATGAGTGGAAAAGAGAGTTTTAAATCTACTGCTTGTGTTATTTATAATTCATAATGACACTAGGAATCACTATGTGTAGTTGAATTGGTTAAATTGCTTGAGTTTTTGGCCATTGTAAGAAATACTGCAAATGCATTAATTAATTAATTTAAAAAGATGGATATAAGAAACAATACTTCTGTGAATTAAAAATTAAATCTTTGATTTAGCTACATTCTTAAAATATATATATAAAAAAATGCATATGCAAAGTAAAATGTATAATGTAAATTTCCCAATGGCAAATCATGATAAGCTCATTTAAATATAAATATAAATATTTATAAAAATATAAATAAATATTACAGGTGCAAAGCAAAAAATTTAAAGAAACGTATCTAGAAATTGCTTATGTATCATGCAGTCCATTATTACATTTCGTTTCACTTTGATAAATAAATGGATATATGAATGAATGAATGAATTAATATTTTCACAAATTGAATTAAAGAGCATTTTATATTAATATTTTAAACAAGGGCTTATTTTAATGATACACAAGTAGATCAAGTTTCTGAATATATATTCATATATATTTTACATAATTTGTTACTCAGTTTAATATAAAATGTTTTTAAGAACAATTGCACAAATTTGTTTCATGAATGAGACCTAATATATGCGCATCTATCTATCTATCTATCTATCTATCTATCTATCTATCTATCTATCTATCTATCTATCGACCTATCTATCTATCCATCTATCTATCGACTTTAATATGGCAAAGGTGTTAAAATATGTTCATACTACATGAATATGTCTTGTTGGTGGCTGGAAGTACGATTAAAATAGGACATAAAATATTTAGTAAAGAACACACAGTGAATGTGTCAAATTTTGTGAACAATGAGTCTTTGCTTTCTGCCAATTTGGACACAGATTGTATGCAGTCCAACTAATTGAACTGCTCTACAAGTCACATCGAAATGCTAACTTTAGCCATGATAACTGTTCAGCTCTTCCTTAAACGTCTCTGAAGCTGTCATTCCTCAGGCTGATAGACGGGGTCTCCAGGGTCCTGACCCGACAGCGGCTGTGCCTGTAGGTGTGTGTGGTAGTGGACTATGGCTATTTGAGCAGAGATTGATTAAAGTTTCAGATGGACTGTGGCTTTAATCTCATCAGAGGAGGCTTTCAATGCCCGGCCCTTTCCTGTCGACATTAAAAATACATGACACGACTTTTCATTACAAGTCACATCTGATGGACTTCAGCTGAGGTGCTAATGCAGATAATGGAAGATGAACACAACAGCTGTAAAAGTTGACCCCGAGTTTAGTAGTGTAAGCTAAAATCTTGATCCCTCAGACAGTATGCTAGTAATATTACTGTACATTAAAAACATCTCTTCAAGCTCTAAACCTCTAGAAGCAGATGTACAGTTTTGAGGTTTACACTGAAGTGTAATTTTCATTACCAAAAACTTGCTTGACGACTACAAAATAAGATTCTAGCATAATAAATTACCTCAAGACTAAATTACTGAATATCCAAAGGCTACATTGCATTTTTAAAAGGTAAAGCAATGTATTAAAAGACATTGCAATAATAATAATAATAATAATAATAATAATAATAATAATAATAATAGCAATAATAATATGGTTTGTCATTTACAGTTTACCATTCCCACCCCAAACTCACAAACAATACATTCAGGTATCAAAACCTTTTTCAAATGAGAATTTTTTTTTTTTACTGAACATTTTATATATGCAAAAGTTTAAGAAATTATTTTTAATCTCTTATGCTCACCAAGATTGCATTTATTTGATCAAAATACAGTAAAAACAGTAATAATGTGAAATATTTAAAATAACTTTTTTCATGTGCAATATATTTCAAATTTATTCTGTACTTACTGCTAGGTCTACTAGTTTACATCACATCCAATCCACAAAACTACTTTCAAACCAACGTTTACTCCATCACCTCCACTGTTGTGTGCCCCCAGCCTCCCTGAGAGGGGTTTTAGCACTTTGTCTCCAAACGGACAAAGAACAGTGAGATCTTGTCTTTTGAAGCGCTCTTAGCACAGCGGCTGCGGCCTGACTCTCGTTGGCTAATGGAGGCACAAAGAAAAGGGCCTCTCAGGAACCAAGAGACGCTGAAAGAGAGAAGCGCCCAGAAAGACTCGAGACTGACCATTGGCTGGCTGAATGCAAAGTTGAGGGCCTCAGACAAAGAATGTGGGTTCACGCGCCAATGAAGACGCTCCTCTGAAGGCCAAACATACATGTACTCAAACAGATACACACACAGGCCCCTGAACCCCAGCCAAGCAGAACCTCATTCACACAACGGAGGGGGGTCGACTCTTTGACTCCGGCTCATGGGGTGGTTATGGTGTGCCAGGGTCGACAAACTTATGGTGACCTCAATGCTGGTCCATGTGACTGACAGTCAAGTTAAAAAAAATCTAAAAAGGCTGTTCTGTGGGATTAGTTCTGGAAGTCAATGGTGGAAAAGTCTAGCATTCATGATGATGCCATAAAAATTAAAAAGTTTGGAATGATAGCAAAACCACAAAAGATACCTTTTTTGAAGAGTGTCTGTGCAAGACCTGTCGCCAAAATAGTGTTGTGAGTGTTACGAGGGTGTTGCTAGAACAACCCTAAGTCTCTATAATGTCCTTGTGCCTCAATATTGTGTGCTCTTTCTTCAATATAAGTCTATGGAATTTTGCAGGTTTGATCATCAAAAATGTAGAATCTTATTGATAGATTGAAAGATTGAGCTCAACTGTCCTTAACAAGCAGCATGATTTAAAGTATTATTTGCATCCCTATCATCCCTAGTTTAATACTTAGGGTTAAGATTTTAACATCCCTAAACCTCAGTAAGAGAAATAGCCCTGTCAAACACCACAGATAAAAACTGGAGGGGACAAAATGCACTGCAATACAGTCGCTGAAGAAAAATATGTATGCAAATAAATGCAAGAAAGACACCCAATTACAGTTCAGTACACAAATATTACAATGACGTCATCACTGTTGGTTAGATTTTGAATGACAAAACAAATACAACAATAGAATGACAGACCGATAGGTAGAACGATATAGATAGATAGATAGATAGATAGATAGATAGATAGATAGATAGACAGACAGATAGTACATCCTTGCTGAATCAAAGCATTAAGGTAGTGTGACTTAACGGTGACTCCAAACATCATATAAAAAGGATTTATATGAACACACTGAGAAACTGTGATTAATAATACCTGTATGAGGTGGGAGGGTACGGTCACCATAGCGACTGAGAGTGAAGTGCGTAAAAGGCCTCGGAGGGCGTAGAGAAATGTGGTGAGGGCGTGGCAGTGGGCGGGGTTATCCTTACAGCACACATCATCCCCCCAGAGCACTGACCCCAGAGAATGAAGACCCAGCCGCAGGACATTCCGAACCTTAGACTACAGAAGTGCAAAAAAAAAGAGACAAACACAAAAAACAAAATAAAATTTCAAACACTGCATTCTTTTCGAGACAATCTGGATATATACAATTTATGTGAACAAATCCACATCTGGCTTGTGTAATGAATATTTCATTAAAGTAATGTAGAGTAAACTTTGTGTTAAAAAATGCATGAATGAATATCTTAACAGTATTTTAATAAGTGCACCTTAATTTAAAAGAGAAACAAGGAAAAACCTGTGGTGTTGCATGACACTTATTTACAGTAACATGTCAATGATGTGTACATTTTTCACTACAGTTTTTAGAACTCTATAAGTAGCAATTCTGCAGCAAAATAAGAATTTTGTAAACAAGTGAAACATTGTATGACCTATATGTAAATTTACACGAAATAGAAGAGTTTGCAATGTAGCAAAAACAGTGGTAGTTTTAGGTAAAATGCTGTATCAGAATCAAATTAATCTTTATTGTTGTCATTATATTCTGCATTATTTGTCTTTCCGTCTGCTGTGCATTAAAATAAACACAACAAATTTTGTGATACTTTGTGATACTTTGCACTGCAAAGACAGCGATGGATTGATTAACGCCTTACCACTACAAGCACGCACAAATCAGGCAACCAACTTGACTTAATTTACACACGCAATTGTATTGCAGACAACATTTTGGTAGAACCCCTACATATCTCTGACCATTTCTTCATTACATTTAAACTACATTTTGCTACCTGTGTGCCACCAACCCCGATACCGGTTACTTTTAGACGAAACCTACGCTCCCTTTCACCCTCCCATCTTTCCTCTGTAGTATCCTCCTCTCTTCCCTCACCTACCCATTTCTCACCTCTGGATGTGAATGCAGCAACTGAGACTTTATGCTCTACTTTAACCTCGTCTAGACGATATTTGTCCTCTCTCCTCCAGGCCAGCACGGGCTGCCCCTTCTAACCCCTGGTTATCCGATGTTCTTTGTGAGCATCGGACCAAACTCAGGGCAGCAGAGAGAAAATGGCGCAAATCAAAAGATCCGTCAGACCTGAGTATGTATCAGTCTTTGCTTTCATCTTTCTCTGCTGAAGTCCATACTGCCAAATCTTCATAATTCCACAACAAGATCAACAGCGTCCAGACACATGTAATCTCTTCAAAACATTTAATTGTCTCCTCTGTCCCCCTCCATCACCTCCCATCACTTCTATAACAGCTGATAATTTCGCCACATTCTTCACAGACAAATCTAGAAGAATCAGTAGTAAATTCTCAGCCCCACACACACAGGACCTCAAACCACATCCACTGCTAAAACTCTCATCTTCTCCTTCTGTCCCCTCACTGAGGCAGAAGTATCAAAACTTCTCCTCTCCAGCCATCCTACAACATGCCCTCTAGACCAAATCCCCTCACACCTTCTCCAAGCAATCTCTCCTATACTTTTACCAGCACTCACACACATCATCAACACATCTCTCCTCGCAGGCACTTTCCCAACTGCATTCAAGCAAGCTCGGGTAACCCCACTGCTCAAAAAACCTACATTAAACACTTCACTTACAGATAGCTACAGTTAAATGTAAATGTAAATGTAATGGTGGAACAAATTCAATATATGCAAGACAGACAACCAATCACAATGAAAAAGTCCACCTCCTGTTGTCCTCTCACATCAAAATTCACTGACGTATTTGTTTATAAGTGTTTTCGCTTGTAAACGGTGCTTGATCTGTGCATATTTCTCTCCTGATTCAGCCAAGATGACTTTTTTACTGAAGAAAGCAATATTATGGATAGAGGACTAGCATATTATCCTGAAGCAACGGTTTGAAGTTAAAAACTTTAATTATGGATGCGTTTCTTAAAAACACACAGCTTTTCACTTTACAAGACGTTAATTGAATCCTGTGGATTACTTGTGGATTGTTGTTTAGTTTTTATCAGCTGTTTGAACTCCCATTCTGACGGCACCCATTCACTGCAGAGGATCCATTGGTGATGTAATGCTTAATTTCTCCAAATTTGTTCAGATGAAGAAACAAACTCCTCTATATCTTGGATGGCCTGAGGGCAAGTCAATTTTCAGCTAATTTTAATTTTAAGGTGAACTATAACTGTACTCATTGTCTTGTGCGTATTGCAGTAATGAAAGTACACTTAAATTACAAGCAACACCTACACAAGCAATTTACTCAATCAATCAATTAGAGACTCTCAACAGGACATGATTAGCCATTGTACAATTTCACATTTATACTCTCTCCATAATGAGAGCGAGAGAATGGTGAAAAGCAAACAAAACAGTGACCAAATAGTATGTCATACATAAGTGTGCAATGACTTGTGTAACTAAGTCAGTAGTGGAATCCTGTCTGCAGTGAAAAGCCTTTTGTCTGTTGGAGTGAGGGCCATGTACCTCTCAAACAACTTGAATCAATGAAACAAACGGCCCAGCCAAGACCACTCAACAGCACGGTCAAACGGAACACGGTGGTCAAAAATGATTGGACAACATCTTCCAATCAGGACAGTTGCCTGACATGACCACAATGTGGCTGTCAACCTAAGAGCCAAAATGTCTGCTTCCAACAAGTGCCAGAAAATTCTTGGCACATTATCCGCCAACATCAGCCAAGCTAAGGGGCCATGGGTGAGAGATGTGCCCTCTGCAGTGTACAAAGTCTGACAGAGAATTTAACCTTATTCACAAACCATCAAAGAGCTGATTCTGAACCTGCTTAATAAAGATTGAGAGGACACCTCAGACCAGAACAACTAGAAAACTGGCAACTGGTGTGACGGCAATACAAGTTTCAGATGTCCCAGAAAAGCAGGACAATTTCATATTTGCATATTTATGAAGATGTGAAAGGTAGGAAGTGGTAGTGTAGTGAAAGGTTTCAGTTTAGACCTAATAGTTTTCTAGTCTTTAGTAAGCCTCTCCATAAAAATACGCATTTTGGATAAGCTGTGGACTTGCAAACACAACAAATTAACTACTGTAGCAGTCAAATTAATTTACCATATAAAAAAAAAAAAAAAACTACGTTCTGATAATTACACCTAATAAAGCTACTTTCAGATCATAATGTAAAAATATTAAATTTCTGTTAAATTTATATTAATATAAATATTTCTGATTTCAGATTTTTTTGTTGAATAATATTTCTATGATATTATAGTTTTACAAATAAAGGAAAAGATAAAAAATAATTCTGGTATAGGCGTAACCTTTTTATACTCTTAAAAATGAGGAAAATGCAATTGAAAATACATAACATGTTTAAAGCTGTTATAATCTTTTAAAACAGGGGCTTGATATTATTGTACACATGCCTTCATTTAGTATCTTTGTACTGTGAATACCCAATTAACCTGCTTATATCTTTGAAATAGAGAAAAAGAAGCTAGATAGCTTATTTAAACCAGCTGAAAATAGCTGTGGTGCTGAATTGTCTACCGCCTGGTTGTTCTCCTCCCATCAGCCTTCGTCCACTGACAATAAACAGTAAAGTTAACACCCTCTACACCGTCCAGCAATCACAAGCATCTTAAGTTAAATAAATCTTATTGTTTGACTGTGTTTCCAAAGCTTCTTGAGGGTTGAGCTTGACATTTCCACAAAGAGGGTGTTCCTGACTCACCGGCTTCCTCTTTACTTTCGGCCACACTCTGGCTTTTTACTGCTCACACTCTTTTCCCCGTTATGTGTGCATGAGAAAAATGATATGCTTTTAACAATTTCTAATGGTAACATGAACATACAATAAAAAGGAGAAATAAAAAAAGAGAGAAAAAAAATCTCAAACTAGCAGTAATGAAAACAAAAATGAAAAATAATAAAATATAAGAAAAGAAAAAATAAAATAATAAAAATAAAATTAATAATAGAAAATAAAATAAAACGCTTCATTAATGATTTTACCAAACCTACCATGACCAGCAATGTTACTGCATTTTATTCAAACTTTATAGGTCATTGCAGTCACAGCTAGAATTGAGTCACCAATCTGACAAACGTTTTAGTCAGTCTCACTGTTGCCCTGTTTGGTCTCATTCTGAGCATTCTTGCCTTTGTGCCCATGTTCTCTCAACCTCATCACATTCCATGACCTCTGCCAACAGAACGGCACTGTTTGATGATGTAAGCGCTGAATCTGTTGGTTGACTGACAGGGGATCGAGGACTTCCAGGGTGAGGAGCCCGAGGTGTCCATCAGTGCCACGGATTACAAGAAAAACACTAAAGCGCAACGATCAACAAGAAAGAGCTAACGCAAACTAGACTTAAGCTACTGATCAGAATAAGATTTAATTTGGGAACTTGATTCCATCAAACTTTAAACTATAGTTTAAACAGTTAAACAACATTGGAATCGCTTGAACTTGAAATAAAGTTTTGCTTTCAACATATTTTTATTTTCCAACATTATTCAAAATTATTCTAAAGGTTAATTCAATTGTATATGCTGTCAAATGTGGTTAGTGACATATATTGTGAAATATATTTCAAAAGATTTTGTGTCAGTGACGGAACTATGCTAAAATTAGAATATTCAAATAAGAAAACTTTAGCAAGTAACTATAAAACTTACTGGCCTCATGGGGAGAAAAAAAGAAAAAAGGAGCATTATCTGACACGCATGGATGTATATGGAGACTTTGTTGAAAAGCTGAATGTAGATGACAGGTAAGATCTATAAAATATTTTATACAATTTTTAACATTTATTTAAGGCCCATTCACACTGTGAATGATAACCATAACGTTTTAGAAATCATTCATTCTTTAGAATTCATTGTTTTTTTTTTGTCCTTGGTGTGTTTGTTTCATCATCAGAAAAGATTTGAAGAAATTTAATGTTGATTATTGTGATGTTTTATCAGCTGTTTGGACTCTCATTCTGACAGCACCCATTCACTGCAAAGGATTCATTAGTGAGCAAGTGATTTAATGCTACATTTCTTGCAATAAGACTGAAACTGAAAGTAAAAATTTTTTGGGGGGAAATCTTTTTCTTTCTTTTTTTTTAAAGATTTATTTTTGGCATGTTTGCCTTTATTATGATAGGACAGATCAGAGCTGACAGGAAGCACTGGAAATCTTTTTCATGTAATGTAACAAAACTGTACACGACATGGGTTTCCTGTCTTTAACTGAACTAGAACCCCACTTAACAATTTTATTTAGGATTATTTTATTTATTTCGTTTTAAAGGAGACATATTATGCCCCTTTTTACAATATGTAATATAAGTCTCTGGTGTCCCCAGAATGTGTCTGTGAAGTTTCAGCTCAAAATACTCCACAGATCATTTATTATATCATTTTGAAAATGCCTATTTTGAGTGGAAGCAGAAACATGCTGTTTTTCGGGTCTGTTTCTTTAAATGCAAATGAGCTGCTGCTCCCCGCCCCCTCTTCCAGAATAGAGCTGCACCATTACAGCTCGGACCTGCTAAAAACATCTGTTTTGGTTCTGATTATCATGTTTATCGCGCTGAAATTATGCGTTTTAAACCATATGAGTTTAAACTTCAGATATAAGGTTTTCTGAGCGCACACGGACAGAAAGCGGCTGTCACAGCATGTGAGTACTAAACTAAGTTCTCATTCACACAAAGGTTTACGTTAAAAACACACGAGTTACAAAAACA